TGGACTGCCAGGAAAACAAACAGATTCATCTTGGAGAGGATTAAACCAGGCTACTCCTTGGAGGCAAGGATTCTGGGGCTTCGTCTGACATACTTTGGACATGTTGCCAGGAGACCGGGTCCTTGGAGAGGGACATCATGCCTGGGAGGGTGGAGAGACGGCGCAGGAGGGGAAGACCCTCTATGAGATGGATTGATTCAGTGACTGGGGTAATCGGGATAGGTGTGTCGAGGCAGTGCTGTTGGCGCAGGATAGAGCAGGGTTTAGGGCTGTTGTGCATAGGGTCGCTATGAGTCGCAAATGACTCTACGGCACATAACAACAACAAATCCTTATTAACTATTTTGAACATCCTAGCTAGCTAGAAAATTCTGCTTGCTCTCTTTTTAAAATATTTTGAGACTAGGGAAATAAAAAATATTAACAGTAGCTCCTTTTCTAAATAAGGATTCAGGCTTCATGGTTCACCTTCTACCTAACTTTACTCTTCTGTGAGCAACTGCACTTAAAAGGTAAGGATGACTATTCTTGACTCATCATAAATTCCTGCTTGTTACTCCACCTTTTCTAACAATGTGAAGAAGCATCCAAAACAGCGCTTTTTGGAGTCTGGAGTTGAATTGGAAACCAGTGTTTTCAAATGTAGATTAACAATAAGTCCTCCTTCCTAGTTTATCTTAGCCTGGAAGCTCCCCTGAAATCCATGAATCCCATTTCATTTAACCAAGAAGAGAGGCTCAGCACCAGTTATTACCCCTTACTTTTTAAAGCCAGAAGAGACAGACTTAGTTTAGAAAGCCTTGGAAAAAATGCTTTGGAATAAATATTTTCATCCAACCAGATTCTGTGATTGTTGTTGTTTTTAGGTGCCATTGAGTCAAGTCTGACCCTTAATGACCCTATCAACAGCAGATCTGAACCCCTATCTTACTCTGTGCCATTCTTATACTTCCTGACAAATTAGAGCCCATTGTGGCAATCACCGCGTTGACCCATCTGGTCAAGGGTCTTCTTCTCCTTCACTGACCCTCTACCCTTTCCAGCATCATGTACCTGTCCAAGGAATAGCCCTTCCCAGCAACATGCCTGAAGTCTGTGAGGTGAAGCCCATCATCTTTGCCTCCAAAGAACACTCTGGCTATACTTTCTCTAAGACATATTTATTCTCTTGGCCATCCATGGGATGTTCAGCACTCTTCTCCAACACCACAGCTCAAAGGCAAAATTCTTCTTATGCCATCCTTATTCATTATTTAGCTCTCAGATGCATAACAAGTGGTCAGACAAACCATGGCCTGGATTAGATACACCTTAGTCCTCAAACTGACTTCATTACTCTTTAATAATTTCGAGAGGTCCCTGACTGCAGAATTTCCCAGTGCAGTCTCCTGATTTCCTGACCTCTGGTACCAAGGTGTTAATAGTGGATCCAAGTAAGATGAAGTTGTTGATAATTTCAATATTTTCTCCATCTATCATGATGTTGCCTCATAAAATTTTGTGGAATAAAATTAAAATTGTTTTTTAGAGAAAGAAGCAGCTAACATAAATATTTGTACATGTTTTTGAAACAAGGAATGCTGACAGTTACCTGAGTTAAACCTTGAGCTATGTTAGAACCACAATCTTGGAGAAAAATAATGTCACAGGCCAGAAATGAGCTGTTTTTACAGAAGTCTTTGATCAGTGCCAATTTTGAAAGTGTGGGAGATCTGAAAATGGGGCAGATGATATATTTTGTGTACTAGAGGAATTACAGGGTGCCTTCTACTGTCCATAATATTTTTACTGGCCAGTTTTGGGATTTTTTTTTACCCTCAAGTAGATTTACAGGTTCTTCTTTTCAGTCTGTCTTAGTCCTGAAGCTCCACTGAAGCCTGTGACCATAGGAGAATTCACTAGTATTTCTTTTACCAGTGTGTTAACTTCTACCATCACAGCAACACATGAGCTACAAAGTAAGACAGAGTCATTCTGTGTGCTGAGCAGCTATTCCAAGCACCTGGCAAACTTTGGACATCAGAATAGGAAGAATACTCATTAACAACTTCTGATACATGCAGGTGTTGACAACCTTGCTTGCCGAAACTGAAAAAGACTTTGAAATACTAACTGGCGAAGAAGAAAAAAAAACCCACCAAAAAACAAAAACAACTGTAGAGTTCAATAAGCCTTACAACCCAACATCAAGAAAACAGAAATTCACAACTAGATCCATCATGATAAGCAGGGGAAAGATTGACGCTGTCAGAGATTTAACTTGCATCTATAATCAACACCCATGGAAGCCATAGTCAGGAAATTAAGGGACATATTACACTGGGCACACCTGATGCAGGAGATGTCTTTAGAACATTAAAAAGCAACAGTGTCACTTAGAGGACTATGTTATGCCTGACCCAAGACATGGCATTTTCAGTCACCTCAAAAGCATGTGAAAGCTGAACAATGAATACAGAATACTGGAAAAGAATTTGTGATGCTTTTGAATTCTGGTGTTGGTGAAAAGTATTGACTGTCCTGTGAACTACCAGAAAAATACCCAAATCTGTCTTCAAGGTTCAATTGGGATGCTCGTTAGGTTTGGAGATGATGAGTTTCCCTTTCCCATTCTTTGGGCATATTATGAGGAGGATCCAATTCCTGGGGAAGAACATCATACTTGGTAGAGAGTCAATGAAAAAGAGGAATATCCTCAACCTGATGAATTGACACGTTGGCCACAACAGTGGTTTCAAACATAGCAATGACTGTGAAGATGGCTCACCACCAGGCATGATTTCACTTTGTTGTACATAGGGTCCTGTGAGTTAAAACCAACTTGATGGTGACTAACAGAATTACAGCTACTAATCTTAGAGCTTAATAGGAGCCAATGAAGCTACTAACTCTTAAAAGTCTCCAAAATCCAGAGCATATAGGCCTACCCTCTAAGAACACGAGATAAAAGATGTTTCCATCTTCAGTTGGAAGTAAAGATAGTCAGAACCCTTTATGCCCATTGAGGTACTCTTGGGACAGTGATAGTAATGAGCAGAGGCCTTTCTTTTTTGGAGGATAGTCTACTCAAAGTTAACAAGTAGGGACGCCTATCTTAGTCTGAGGACCCAAGTGAAAAAAAAAAAGGACCAATATTAGTCAAGCATACATCCCCTTGCACACAAAAAAATATAAAGTAAAAAGGGAATTATGAGATTATTTTTGTTGCCATTTTTTATCAAGGTTGAATAAAATCAGAGTCAATTTATAGGCTCATTGCCTTTAACTGTTAAAAGTTACTTTGGATCTCTTAAAAATTCAATTCCCTAAAAATCTCTTTAGTCAAAGAGAAAAATCATTCATGCCAAAGTTCTTGATATACAATTGGATGGTTCCCCAAATAAACATTGCTTATGTAACCTAATAAATGAGTTAAATGAGTTTGCCGAATTTTCCTATGTGCCCAATTATGAGATATCATGTCAGTTCATTAGTTAACTCCTCTGTGACCATGACTAGTTTACTAGGTTCCCAAGAGAAGGTTTCATTAATGCAATGAGTGACAACCACCACAGGGCTCATTGAATTCTCTGCCAAATTGTGACATTTTTAGAAGTACCCTTTCTAGAGCCTTTAGTCTACTACGTTAGCCCCCTTTGGAGACCCAATTTCTTCCCGACATCAAAACACCTAGGTTTACTGATGCTTGTACATCATTTCTGAAAACAGCAGTGAAGTCTCTCCTTGGAATTGTAGGAACAGAGAGCTCCCAAACAAGACTCAACTCTCTGAAATAGTGCTTACTTGTTAAAGCATTCTGTATTAAATTATTTTGTATTCTGTTGTTTGGTATTACATTAAGAGCAAAAACAGCCAGTAAATTTCTTTTTCTCCATCTCTGTTTTTCCATTAGGTCAATTGTGGGGCGCAGATTCTTTTTTATCATGGGAACTTTATACCTGTATCGCTGCATTACGATGTATGTTACTACTCTCCCAGTGCCTGGGATGCATTTTCAATGTGCTCCAAAGGTGAGTGCCCCTCGTTAGAAGAGGCCAAGAACACCTGCTCTCTATAATACATTCTTCTAGGAACTTCCAACTGAAATGTATCATATTTTCTATTTTTTTTTTTTAGCTTTTGCAGGGAAGAAATTGTGTTCAGAAAAAATGTCTGTCTTTGTGCATAAAATTGTTTTCTTCTAGCTGAAGTTTAGCACTGACTGTTGACTCTTTAGTTTTTGAGCTGTTTATTTTATTGTAAATGCTCACATTCATTCTATAAATACAAAGCTCCTATTATGTGTCAAGGAGCTCTGGTGTCACAGTCTGCAGGGAGTTGTGCTGCTAACCCAAAAACGTTTGCCTCTACTAATGGCTTTTGGTAGAGAAAGATGAATAGTCCCATCCACGTGACTGATAGACTCAGAAACCCAATAGAGGATCAGTGATGAATATTTCCAACTCTACAGCAGTGGATTGTGGGTTTAGGGTTTTTTAAAAAAAGATAATATCCGACACTGAGGTGTAGTGACAATGACCAAAATAAAGTGCCTCTCCTCCTGGAGATTGTAATATATCGGGAGATAACAGAAGATTTTAAAAACAAAACAAAAATCCTAATAGATCAGATGGTGATAAGGAAAAGTCATCACCAGAAGAAAACAATAAAGCTGAGTAAGGGTGGAAAAATATATATGAGTAGTTGTTATTTGGTATAGAGAGGTTGTGGAAAAGTAATAAGAAAGCATTTTGGTAGAAACCAAGATAAGGGTGTAAGCAGGTGAATGGGATGAGAGCTCCAAGCCAAGAAAAGAGATTACTCACAGTGGTTTCGGGAAGAGCAAGGGAGCCAATGTGGCTGAGTGGAACTGTGTAATTCGTGGTGATTCATGTCACCAACCTCATGGGGCCTCAAGGCCTGTTGTAAAACCTTGAATCTTAGAGGTGGTGTTGAAACTGGTGAATAGTTCTCTTCTGAATATTCTTTGAACACAGAATCAATTGAATGTGCTAACTGGTCTGAGAGAATAGAAAGCTCCAAAAATTCTTGTCCTGAGCAATTGGAAAGAGTATGGTCTTTTGCCAAGATACTATTTTCAGGAAATGGTACAAAAATGGATGCCATAAGCATCAGTTTTTCCAGTTAAGGGTCATTCCTTCAGAAAGCTGTTCATCACCTGAGCCTCAGGATGCCCTGCTTTATAAAATGGAAACTTAACAAATCATGTGTTGTGTTTTCTTGACAAGGGAATGAAGTCAAACATCGTATTTTACTGAACACTAAGCAGATGTCTAAGGTGGATGGAAAAATAGAGTTGTTCTAAAGACGTCAACAGCCTCTCTCACCAAATATAGGTGTGGTTTGGAGAAGCTATAATTTTCCAGAGTCATCAAAGCATAAAGTATCTGTAGTTCAAATAGTACACGTATGGAATTTAAACACTAGGTGGTTTTGTAGAAATCATGGGAAGAGGTCAGAAGCATAATAAATACTTCTAAGAGGTTATTGTAACATGTTAAATGGGAAAACGGCCAGAGACATGAAGACACCCAAGTAACAGATCAGGCTTGCAGGGATGAATTGCTATGATTACAGAAAGAAAGTAAATTAGAGATTTTCCTCAGTAGAAGAGTTACAATTTTAAGAAGCTGCATCAGTAAGTATACCACTGAATAACCAGCCTACATACATTCAATGAAAACTGGTAGCATCCAGTGTTATGTGCCTGTATTGTGGTTAAACACACTGGGAGGACTTTGAATAGAGGTGATTGCAGCCTAAATTGTATTCAAGTTGTGAGGGCTCTTTAATTTCTGTGATCACAAGGCTACTAGCCTATCTGCCTAACTCCTTTGTTGTTCTAGAATTCCTATAGAATGCCCTTTGTGAATATGAGCAACTACAGAAATATGAATACTGAAACCGCTTGCTGTGGAAGGATGGTGGTGTTACTGTTGTTGGGTGCCATTGAGTCAACTACAACTCATCGCAATCCTATGAGTAATCCATCTGAACCTTGTCTTCTCCTTTGCCGTCATCACTATCTCTGTCATACTCAAGCCCATTATTGAATTCACTGTGTCAGTCCGTCTCGTTGAGGGTCTTCCCGACTCTTCCATGACCCTCTCCTTTTCTGAACATGATGACATTGTCAAGGACTGGCCCTTCCTGACATAACCAAAGTATGTAAGATGAAGTTTCACTATCCTTGCTTCTGAGGAATCCCTGTTTGAACTTCCTCTAAGATATATTTGTTTGTTCTCTTGGCAATCCATCGCATATTCTAATACTCTTTGCCAGCACCACTATTTAATGTAATTGATGCCTAATAAAATTTATATCCCATCAAATACCACCTCAGGACCCTGATTTCCCCTTGTTGTCACAATTGTCAAGTTGTATTCTCCCTTATCCAGCTCACGGTTGACTTTAAATCCTCTGCTGGCAATTTCATTCACCTTCCAACCTTTCAGAAATGAATGCATTACTTTGGTTTGCAGTCACTAGATTTATGTCATTCACTGTGTGTTTAGATTAATATTGATCCACTTCTTAGGGCTAATCTGTAATAATATAGTGCTTCAAACCACTCTTCCATGTAAGAAAATGAGACAATATGTAAGGACAAAAGAATCCTTGTATTTATTAAAGGGAGAATGTGGATGAAGAGGTTTTTGGTTTGGAAGTGGTCATGTTAGGCTGTCCTGTACCTCGTTTTTTTAGGGAGTTGGGGTGTGGAGGAAGCAGTGGGTGGATGTTTTGAAGAACCGGTTTCAAGAACCCTTAAGAAAGCTCAAAATTGCTTTGTCTATTTTAATTAATGCTTCTCCTCTTAGGTTTCAGTATCTTCAGTTTTATGACTAGTAATGGTGTAGAAAGGTGTCGAAAAAGAAGAAAATTATAAGTAACTAATGTCTCAGACTTAAGCACAGCAGAGATTATGAGGATGACAAAGGATCAAGCAAAGTTTCAGTCTATTGTACATAAGGTCAGAATCTGCTTAATGGAGCCTAACAAAAACAGAAAGTCTTATGTGATTTATTTCTTATTAAGGAGGTCCCAGTGAACTAGAACAGAACATTTAACATACACACACACATACACACACACATCTGTATAAAGTACTGAAGAGCAATGATTTCATTCTAGAGACTAAGGTGCACCTGATCAATTACTTGCAGTGCATCAGAAAGCTGGAAATGACTAGGGAAGATAGAGAATTGATGCCTTTGAACTGTGGTGCTGGAGAAGAGTATTGAATATACCATGGACTGCAGGAGAACAAACAGATTCCTTCTAGAGAGGGTGAAACCAGGTTGCTCCTTAGAGGCAAGGATTCTGACGCTTCATCTGACATACTTTGGGCATGTTACAAGGAGGGACCAGTCCTTGGAGAGGGACATCATGCTTGGAAGAGTGAAGAGTAGAGGGTCAGCACAAGAGAGGAAGATCCTCAATGAGATGAATTGATTCAGTGACTGGGGTAATGAGGGTAGGGTAATGAGGTAGACAGTAAGTTTGGCTCGGGATAGAGAAGGTCTCAGGGCTGTTCTACATAGGGTCACTATGAAGTCGCAAGCAACTCATGGCACATTAACAACAATAAGCAACATATATACATTGTTGTTGTTATGTACCATAGAGTCAGAACCAAACCATAGTTGACCCTCTGGTGGGTTTTCAGAGGCAGTTAATTGAGACTTAAATGGGAGGACATTACCCATCCTTCTCCCGAGGAGCAACTGGTGGCCTCAAACTACGTGCCCTTGGGATTTCAGTGAAGCTTCTTGCCATTAGGCCACCAGAGCTCCTTATGTACTTAGACACACATTTAAATCTCAGTCTTCACTATTCTCTACCCCATCTTTCTTCCCACATACCTTTCTTTTTTCCCCCCTCTTCTTGCCTCTCTTGAGGTTCTGTGTAGCACATACACTGAGTGTGATCTGACATCTCAGCAGCACTGAGGTATTATGAACTAAAGAAGGACAAAAATATCAAGAGGAATTCTTTCTGTGTAAAATGCTGTGATTCAAATGCTGTCAAAAAATCTCCACACAGCAATGCTGCCAGAAGAATGTGAGAAGGAAGAGAAGCGAGTGGCTTATTTAGATTACCAGTTTGTTTATACTTTGAGCCTCAGATAAAGGTGCTGATGGCTTTAAGTGTTTCTGCCCTTGAAAAATTAGAACACAGAAATCAAAAGGATGAGGAGGTTTCAAAGAAAAAAAGTACAGTTTTGCAATGAAGAATAATGTGTCCTTTTAAGACTGGGGACAAAATGGCCAGGACAAAGTGTATGTGTCTTTGGATTTTATTTCACTGTTGACAGTGGTTCATACCAACCTGACAAGAAATTCCTGAAGAGCATGGATGAGCTGATAAATCCTGTGGCTGTTCTTTAATACTCACTAGCTGAGGTGTCCTGAAGTGAGTGCTGCAGCTCCATCAACAGCCCCTTGGTCTTCCTAGTGTACAGACCTTTTATTACCCTCTCTAGTCTCTTTTCAAGGCAAGAACTCCTAGTGCTTGACATGTTTTGGTTTAAAGATTCTGTTCTTAGTAACATACATCAGTACTCTTGGTACAGAGTGTTATATACCTCCTTGGATCCCAAATGGACACTCACCAACTAGATCAGCAGGCAATCTATGGAGGAAAGTCACAATTCTTAGCAACAACAGTCTTTCTAAGGAGTCCTGTAGCACAGCCACTAAGCTCTTAGCTGCTGACTGAAAGGTGGTTTGAACGCACCTGGGGGCTACTTGACACAGTGAATGACCTTGAAAATCTGCACCTATAAATATCACAGCTTCTAAAACCCTCTGGTCCAAAGAATGGGGTGAGTCAGTCCCCATGGTACTTAAAAAACAAAAACAATGAGTCAAAAATCTACTTGACAGCACCTAACAACATTATTCAAACAAAACACAAAACAAAAGAGGCAGCTCCGGGGGTATAGTCACAGTAATATTTCCATATTCCTTTTGTGTTTTGTGTTTTGTTTTCTGAATGTTATTCTTTGATTTTTCTAAACCTATTGTGCAAGCCCTGTCCCCTTTGTACTAGACAGTTCTGAGTCACTTTGTCTGGTTCTCCAACAAATTAGTATTTCAATTACCCATGCCTAAACCATCTTGGCAAACTCACTCTGTTATACCTTTTCGTATGCTTCTAATGGAATATAATCTTTTGACCATTGCCTCGAACTCCAGCCCTAGCCTATCATTGTTTTTCATGGATTAACAACTTTCACACCTTCGCATTCGACTGTAGAGGTTTCATTACTTGTCCAAGGGAGTTTTCTCCTACCTACGATAACATACAGGTTACTTCCTTGTGGGTATTTTACCTATGGAAGTACTCATTTGTTAAGCTGACATGGCCCCTGTTTTTAACTTTAAATGCCTTGATTTTTATTGTTATGTGCTAGGTAAACTGACTCATAGCTGGCCTTTCAGCAGGTTTTCAGAGCCTGTGTATTGTACAGGAGAAGAGTGCCCATCTTTCTCCTGGGGAGCAGCTAGTAGATTCAAACTGTGTACCTTTGGGTTGGCAGCATGACTCCTTACCACTTGGCCACTGGTAGAAATTTTAAAAATTATACTCACTCTTTAGGTTGCCCTTTTAATACAAAGTACCTATATACTTTGAATATTAGTAATGTGGTATGCAGTGAAATCAAATATTAATCATCTAAACCCTGGCTCTTCCGCCTGCTGCAAAAAAGAAAGAAGGGAGCTTTGACCTGTTTTTCAGCCCATAACTGTGATGAAGTCATAGGTTATTAATATTTTTAAAAGCTTTGTCCAAGGGCACACCACCACCAAAACATTATTAGTAACACACTGAATAATTGAAAACTTGTCAATAAAACTCGCCAATACAATGAATAAAACTCAATTTGAGCAGCTTCCTTCTCTTCCTCTTTGAGTTCTTTTCAGCTTTTTAGATCAAATCAATAAAATCATGATTTGGTGACCTTTCTGGATGTCACAAAAACCAGGCAAAGACAATGTGCTATCAGTTTGTAAATGTCTTTAATCTTTGTGTGTCATTCAGCTTAATGGAAACTCTCAGGCAAAAGTAGAGCGGATCCTACGGCTCATTTCTGGTGGTGGATTGTCCATAACTGGATCACATATCTTATGTGGAGACTTCCTCTTCAGCGGCCACACTGTTGTGCTGACCCTTACTTATTTGTTCATCAAAGAATGTAAGTAATAGCTCCTACTCATTTTTATTGACTAATTGCTTCAGTGAGAGGGAACTCAAGACCTTGAAACTGATGGATGTCCTTTTTCTGTTGATATCAATAGCTGTCAATGATTGAGATACATACATAGGCAGATGTGAGATAAGAAAGACCTGAATACTGAAGATTTAAAACCTATCATTCATCTGATAGAGACAGGAGAAACCCCTGAGACTTTGATAGAGACTGGAGGAACCCCTGAGATTTTGATCCTTAAACATTCTTTAAACCTAGAAATAAACCCACTCTTGGGTATCATTTTTCAGCAGAGCAACAAATGCATCTGTGAAGTGAACAGTAAAAACGATGAGAAACATCTTCCCCAGAACAATCAACCAAGAGTATAACATTTGCCCAAAATCAAACTTCAGATGGCAGGAAGGAAAGAAACTTGAAACAGGGAACCCAGAGACAAATTAGGAAGAGTACTATTACATTGAGGGGATTAGAACTAATGTAATAAAGCAAAATGTGTATCATTTGATGAGTGGAGAACTAATTTTCTCTGTAAACTTTCAGCTAAATCACAATAAAATAAAAATAATTCTGGCCCTAGCTTCTGCAGAGCATTTTGCATGATGTCTCGAAGATGAAAAGCTATTTTAATATTGGAACTAAGAAAAATCTAATTGTAAATCTTGCTGAAAAAAAAAATCAGTACATGCTAAAGTAAAAAGTAAATACTTTTTTAATTGTTTGAGAGCTTGTTTCCATAATCCCAGATAATTCAGTTCAAGTCCACTGTCCGATCCATGAGAAAAGTAAACTAGTCTACTTCCATAAAGATTATAGCCTTTTAAATTATATGGTACTGTTATAGGGCACATAACAATAAAAATCAAGGCATTTGTTTGGTTCTGTTTTGTCATATATAGTTACTGTGAGTTAGAATTGACTCAACAGCTTTGGTGTTAAGTTTATGGTAGATGAAATAAAGTGTTATAATATTAAGAGATTTATCTATGTTGTTACTTTTTCAAATGCAAACTTACAGTAGAGACAATGACATGTTAACTATGGTACTTCATTATACCAGATTTTAAGACTCTGGGTCTTGTGTACCTCTCCCACATTGAAAAGACCTGGGAAAGGGATGGCCTAGATCGATTTCTGCACCAACATCAGAGACAGGTCTATGTATCCCATAAATTTCAGAATTTCTAATATTTAGTCATTGGTTGGTCCAGGTATTATGCGGGGTACTCTGTGTTGATGATCTAAATTTTGCCCAGGAAAGTTTTGTCTCTATGTAAATCAATCCTTTATCATTTCAGAAGTGTATTTGAGTTGTAAGTTATTCTTCCACTCTTGAATTGAAATGATTCATGGAAGGGCTGGAAACGGGTTAAGAGGGAATTCCATTTTAGAATGACACCACTGTGTATTGAAAACGAAAAGCAATGAAGGAAAAACAACTAATGAAACTGAGAATCAGTATTAGAAATAAATATGAACAATAATGATAGCAAGTAGACATGAGTTAGGTATTAACTTACTCATTGCTGTTGTTAGTAATCATCAAGTCAGTTCTGATTCACGAGACCTCACATGTATCTAGTAGGACTGTGCTCCAGAGTTTTCAGGGCTGTGACATTTGAGAAGCAGATGAGCAGGCCTGTCTTTGGAGGTGCCTCAGGATAGGTTTGAACTACCAGTCATTTGTGTCGTTTAGTCAAGCACAAAACTGCTTGTGTCACCAGGAACTCCTCACTTTGTGCCACACACTGCTCTTAAGTGCTTAACATGCATTAATTAACTCATGTAATCCTTGCAACCATCCTTTGAAGAAAGCACTGAGTTTTAATCCTCATTTTTTACATGAAGCAGCTTATGTATCAGGAGAGTGAGTTAATTAGTCAATGTCCACATCTAGTAACTAGAGAATCTGGTATTTCAACTCAAACAGCCTGACTACAGAGATGACACTGTTAGTTTCTTGGCTATGTTTAGAATGTCTGGGACACCCACCTTGGTTGATCCTACAGAATTGCCAAAAAAACTTCTACTCGTTCTTACTCAAAGTACACTTACATTGCTCATTTGTCTTCTTTTACCTCAGAGCGGTAGCCAGGCAACTTGTGGTTATTTTCTCCCTTTAATAAAAGCCAAGCAGCATGTAGTGACATTTTCTACCTAAGCTGTGATTTTGGCTTGAGAGTTTCTTAAATGTTGCAGATTTCCATTTCTCTTGGAAAGAATTACATTCTGTTCTTGACCAATTTTTGTTGAGAAATGCAAATCCGTAATGCAGAGCACCCACTCCATTTTACAGTCCTTTCTGTACATAAACAGGGTGTTCTGTGTTTATGTCTGTTGCCTGTGCAATTAGGAAAAGCAGCCACCTTCTAAATTACACTGAATTATTGTTCTGAGTAAGCGGTGGTTTCAGTGGTTTCTTTGAAAAGTTGATCTCTAGAATTAGCAGCATGTATGTATTTTTGCTTTTTAGCTTTTGACTAGTTAAGACCTTTCCCATGCTTGCTTTGTTGTATGTTGTTGCTGATTGCCGTCGAGTCGAGCATGACTCATAGCGACCCTATGAACAAAAGACCTGAAGCCCCTCTACAACCCTAGATTACGAAATGGATGCCACTCCTACTTCCAATAGAGTAGATTTAAATTTAGTTGTAAGAGCACTTGTAAATGTGGACCCCAGGACCACTTTGAGGATTAGTAAGAGCTTTATCCCGCTGTGTAACTGTTCTCACTATTGCCTACGTTACATAAGTTGATTCACTCATTGCCGTCAAGTTGGAACTGGTGCATAGCTGACACACTCTAGCAGGGTTTGGGAGGCTCTAAGTCACATGGGAGGAAATTGCCTGTCTTTCTCCCACAGAGCCACGGGTGGATTTGAACCACTGGAGAAGCACCACCCTTGGGCTAGCAGCACAGCTGCCTATGGACCACACCACCAGATGAACCTATAAGTTCATAGCAAATGTTTCCTAATTAAAAATACTGGGTGGTTTGTTTTTTCTCTACTTTGTCAACACACAGAACCTACTCCCTCTATTATTGAGGGCTAGGATCCCATGCCGACAGTGACATCCATTAACATTTGTTGTCATCCTCTTTTTTTTTTTTTTTGCAATGAGTTTGTATTTTTATTGTTGCTTTACAGTTTGTTTGCTATGTAGGTCTTTGGATTTGTTCAAAGAGCCTAGTGGCACAATGGTTAAATAATTCAGCAGTTAACTAAAAAGGTCAAAGGCTTGAACTCACCATCTACTCCAGGGGAAAAACAATGTGGCAGTTGGCTTCCTTAAAGCTTTAAAACCCTAGAAACACCATAGACAGTTCCACTCTGTTCTGAGTTGGAATTGACATCCACTTTTAACCTGGTGAATTCCTCTTTTAACCTGGTAGAATGAGAGAAAAGGAAGGATAACTATTTTATCATTTTCTCTTTTAAAGAGTTTGTATTAAATATACTCCTTGAGTCTTCAGATTGTTTTAATTAATGAGTAGTGGTCCTAATGGGATGGCATAATAAGGGATACAGTTTTAGGAGCGAGTGATGCTAGTGAGGATTTTCAGCCTCTCCTAAAACCTCATTTTCCACTCCACAAGTCAGACAGTGACCATCAGACCACTTCTTTGCTCCTTACTTTCTTCACTTAGCTTTGTTTCTTGTAAATAAGCAAACAAAAAATAATTGGTGTGTCTGCACATTTTGAGTAATTAAGGTGACTGTAAAAGAGGCAGAGTTGGCATGACCACGTGAAGGGTGGCTTCTGTGGGACTGAAGAATTCGTACAAGTTCTGAAGGAGAGCGCTGCTGCTTAGCTCTTGCCACCTCTTGTCAAGTGTAAATGTGGCACCATATTTCCAGATTGTCTTATTTTTTTTTATTGAGAAGTCAGAAATCCAAATTTTTCCAAAAATTTCCGACATTTCTAAATGTTGTTTCAGTTTTTTTGCACTCTGAGTCTCACAGAACAGTTTTGTGTGTAGACTGCAGCTCTCTAGGCCAAATTAAGGTCTGGGAATTGATGAGTTATCTGTCAGAACGTAGTGGCAGGATAAAGAGATTGGGAAGTGATGAGGAATATATTATAAATCGGAAAACCGTACATACTTAAAATTAGGGGGCTTATTAGGAAATTTTACAGCTTATAATTCAGTTTAGAAATAGGATACAATTCTTCAGTCAAGATAGTTTCCAGAGTGTATTCAAAAGCCCTTTGACCTTCAGTTTCAAGGCTTTAGAGCAACACTACCAATTCTCTTAGTCTTGTCAATTATGGTGTCTCCCCTTACCCCCACAATCTTCCAGCAAGCCTGGATACAGGCCTGCCAGCTCTGACTGTGGGGCAGTAGTCCCCAGTCACCTCCATTTCATATCAGTCTCTGTTTCTCCACTCCTACTGCTGCTGTGATCTAGGTCTGGGCCCAAGTTACGTAGGAATCCCTGATCAAAATGGACACCCATTGTACTCTAACATTCTTTTTCCTTGCTAGTAGCAAGATGGCCATTTTCTGCCTCTAAGCCGGCTCAATTTAAACCGGGAGGGTTGGCAAGACCAATTTTTTTTAACATTGTTCTATGTACCATCGATCAGAAGCAGGAGTGGCATCATTTCCTAAACAACATGACTCTGGAAAGTCTATGAACTTTGATAAATATCAATAGTTGTAGAGGGGCTTCAGGCCTTTTTTTTTGTAGGGTCACTATGAATCATGATCGACTCAGTAGTTGTACAGGGGCTTCAGGCCTTTTGTTCATAGGGTCGCTGTGAGTCGTGATCGACTCAAAGGCAATCAACAACAACAACAAGTACCATTGAGTCAGAACTGACCCATAGCTGACCCTCCAGTGGGTTTTCAGAGGCAATAAATTATGTAGAAGGAGATTGCACATCCTTTCCCCACGGAGCAGCTAGTGGATTTGAACTATGCACCTTCAGATTGGCCACTAAGCCACCAGAGTTCCCACATAAGTCATCTATATACCTTTCATGTTCCCACCTAACAGTCTGGCAAAAGTCAAAGCCAATGTTCTGGGAAAGCCTTTTTTTTTTTTTAACCATTTTTAATCCTAAACCTACAGTCATTAATGTCATAAAATGTGTCTGAGTAGTTTGACTACAAAATCAGTTTGCTTTGTAAGCTTTCACTCAGATCACAATAAAAAGAAAGTAATTAAAGGGTAAAAGGCACTATGATTATAAATAGAAATAAATATGAAATAAATTTTTCTTTGTTTAAATTGATATTGTGAAGTGGTAAAGTTTTTAAATGGAAAAAATAAAGAAGAAATAATTGTCCAAGTTACTGGAGATAGACTCTGACTCAGAGTGTACATATCCTTAGCATTGATGTGAAAAGTAGGTGTATGATTATGTTCAATCTGAATGTTCCAGTTCTCTCTTAGCTTTGAACTATGTAATGGATGTCTTAGTGCCTTCACTGAGGCTAAAGTCTGTAGATGAATTGACAGAAATCCTAAACACTACATAGTGGTCAAGTCAACTTCAACTCATGGTAGGTAACCCATGTGTGTCAGTGTCTGTGTTCCATACAGTATTCAATGACTGGCTTTTCAGAAGTCAGGTCTGTCTTCCAAAGTCTCTGTAGATGGACCCATACTTCTCACCTGCTAAATACATTATCCTTTTGTACCATCAAGATACTTCAAGTTTACTGTGGTTCTATTGTGTGTCAAGTCAATGGTAACTCATAGCAGCTCTTTCAAAAAGACCCGTAAATGTATGCCATAGTGTTTTCAGAGCTGTGATTTTTAAGGAAGAAGACTGCCATGTTTTTCTTTAAGAAGAGGCAGACAGGTTAGAACCACCAAATTTTCCGTTTGTAGCTAAGCACTTAACCACTGTGCCACCAAGGTTTCTTTGAGTTTTGTTTGCATAGGGAATCTTCTACCATTACTGCAGCAAGTAACTATAAATTTGTTAAGAACCAAAATTCTACTACACAAATATGTCATTTTTTTTAATTTTTTTATTACCTGGAGAAGTAAAATGCATTTTTTCTTTTCATTTTCATAGAAAGTCATCTTTCTTTTTGACTTATGTTATTTTTCCTTCCAGAGGAAATCCCTGTAAATCAGCTGGTCTAATACAAAATAATTCTGTTTTGTTCTTTATTAAATGATGCATTAGCAGTAGGAGAGACCTGGAATTTCTAGTACCACAGCTAACGCTAATGAATGACCATGATGCCTGCTCTCAGTAGTTCTCCTTCCTTTCAGAACCAGTCCTGAGCAGTTTATAATGAATCATTTTTGATCATCAGTTTTCTCTTTTCAGTGACTCTACATTATTGTCACTTATTCACTCAGATGCCCAAAGTTATCCATGAGCATGCTGTCAGGAGGTGCCACTCCCTGGGAAAACAGAAACCATTGTGCTGGGAAAGGTATAGGATCAGCAGAAGAGGGGAAACCCTTAACAAGATAGATTAACACAGTGACGGTAATGATGGGCTTGAGGGAGAGATTGTGAGGATGGGACAGGACAGGGCAAGGTCCAGAACTGTTGTTCATCAGACACTATGAATCGTAGCTGACTTGATGACCCCCTACCAGTAAGAACAACAAATTATTCTATTTAGGTACATTTCGATAGACTGAAACCAATCATGAAGTTCGTTTCTGGGAATCTTTCTTTTTTTTTTCTATAATTATATTTTATTAATTT